ACTTTCTCCCCAAAATCCACAACTCAACAACCCAAGAAGACCCATTGTGTCTGCTTGTAGTTGTCCCACCGAACACAATTCCAGCCTTCTAGACCATGTCATGGCACCCTTAGTAAAGGATTTACCATCCTATATCAAGGATACCAAACATGCTTTCCAAATCATCAACAACATTCACTTTCAATCATCTCACAAATTCATTTTCACAATGGATGTCAAATCCTTTGTACACTGTCACCCCCCACCAGGATGGTTTGAAGGCCCTCAAATTCTTTTTAAACAAACGCCTCACTCAGGAACCATCGACAACTGTTTTGGTCAGATTAGCAGAACTTGTGCTCACTACTCTCAACAATTTTTCCTTTGATGGTGAGCATTACCAACAGATAAGTAGTGTAGCAATGGGAACTAAAATGGGTCCCAATTATGCCAACTTGTTTGTTGGTTTTGTGGAAAAACGAATCTAAGAACAGTACACTAGCCCTCTACCTGATTACGTGGGAAGGTACATTGATGACTGTCTTGGTACAGCATCATGTTCCCATGCTGAGTTGGAGAGATTTGTTGATAAATTTGTTGATGAATTTCATCCAGCACTCCAATTCACATTGGAAATTAGTGAGACCAGTGTATCATTCTTAGATATCCTGGTTTCCATCAACGGCAATAGGCTCTCTACCTCAGTGTTCTGCAAGCCCACTGACTCCCATAGCTACATCTTGTATTCATCCTTCCACCCCAGCCACAGTAAGAGGTCTATCCCCTTCTCACAATTCCTTCATCTCCGCTGCCTTTGAGTGAAGATGATGACTTCCAGTCCAAATGCCTGGAGATGAGAACATTATTTGTTGGGCGCAACTATCCCTCCCCACTTATTGACACTGCCTTATCTAAGGCCTCTCTGACATTTCCCGTTTAGACACCCTTAGAGACTCTTGTCTCTAGCACCCCTAGCATTAATTCTACTCCCTTAGTTCTTACTCATCATCTCTTCAATTTTGCTGTTAGGGATATCTTACTTCGGAATTTTCATATCCTGCAGAATGACCCCGAGACATGTTCCATTTTCACCGATAACCCCCCAGTCTGTTTTCGGCACAACAAAAACATCCGGGACACATTGGTTCACAGATCTCTACAGCAAAACTGTTCAGAGCCCGATGGCACATCTTATGTGGCATTGGCCAATGTAAAACATGCTAATTTACCGATTCCAGCACTGTTATTTCAGATACATTGTTATGATTTATATTGTCGAGTTAAATTGGCATTGTGTTATGATTATATTTTGAGTTTATCATTGTGTTAGGATTAGTCTTGAGTTTAACATTGTGTAATGATTATACTGAGTTTGGCACTGTGTCATCATTATACTGTTCAGTTAAACAGTTTACCATGATTATATTGTTGAGTTTGGCACTATATCATGATTATATTGTTGAGTTTATCATTGTCTCATGATTAGTGTTGAGGTTTACACTGTGTCATGATAATATTATTGAGTTTAACAGTTACCCATTACTATATTTTATAGTTTAACATTGTCTTATGATTAATATTGAGTTTAGCACTGTGTCATGACTATATTGTTCAGTTTACAACTATCCCATTACTATAGTCCCATGGTTATAGTATTGTGTTATATATACATACAGTACATACTTTTATTGGTGTGCCACAATACTTATTTCTACCTGGAAGAGTCTGAGCACTCAGAATCTCCTGAAGAAGAATCCTTGGATCTTCAAGAAATGCTACGCAGTATAGAAAGAAGCCAAGTAACCATCCAAGTATATTTAAAGAAGTTTATGGAAAATCAGATGATGACAACCCTGAATTGAGTCAATTGGGGCGAATGTGAGCCAGGCAGAAGACATGGATACAGAAGATCATGATTTTGTTTTAGATGATGAAGTAATTATTGGCAATATTGGTGATGGTAGTGGTGATTATGGGTGTTGTGAGTGGTGATGCTGGTAGTGATAATGGAAGTCATACAGGTGAGGAAAGCTGTCCCCAAAATACACACGACAGTGAAGATCCAATGCATACTTCTATAACCAGGCCATCTCTAGTGCTCAACTGACTTCAAAAGAGAGTGCTACAATACTTGTGAATTTTAAAAACTGGTTGACCAGTCCAGATGGCGGACGGAAAGATGAGAAGGTTGCCAGTCAATGCAAGCGTCAAGTCGAGATGGTGATGGAATTAATAAATCTGGATAAACCATCAGTTAGTGGCTTACTGTTAAAGACTATGCTCAGAGATAATTGGCTAACAGAGTTTGAGAAAGTGAAAAAACCAGGAATAGGCCGTTGGCTGTGTGGCCAAATTAAGGCTAGAAATTGAATTCCGTCGCCCCTACCGCGGTGCTAACATATTTAAACGGGAATTAGGTAAATAAAATCTGCTGATTTCAAATATGTTTGTTCCCACACGTCAAACCACGCAGTTTTTTCATAATGTACGGCCAAAGTTCAGTATTTTTATCAACTGAGCGCCATTTTGAATTCTTCGGTATCTTTGATCTTTCGATTTCGTTACTTGAAGTATTCAGACGTACTCACGAAACGTAGGCGCATAAACAATCGAATCAGAAAATATGGATGATTTCCCAGAATAACGCTTCTTTCACGGCAATATTTTAATCATTTCGAAGATAAATCTGGCGAATTGTGACATTTAGCTTCACATTCAAGTTAGTACAGTCGATAAAATCTGGAAAAATTTTAAAACGGCTAAAAACATGGCTGGGAAACAAAATCAAATCACGACAAAAATTTGGTCATGTAAACTCTGATATTCTACAAATAATTCTAAAATACGTATAATATATATATATATATAAAATAAATACTGGGTGTATACAAATACTGGGTGTATAGAATGTTAGTTTTCATCCTCCATATCACTTCCCAAATCATCGTCCGAATCATCTTCAAGGCTTTCGCTGGATGCGTTGGGGCAATTTGTGCACCCAACGCACTGGCACATTTCATTGCACTTGTTGTTTGACTTTTTACAGGAACATCTTAAGGTTGAACACCCTGCCTTACATTTACAGTTGCAATCTTTGAGTAGCACATCTGGGGCACATTTCTTCGTCATCCACACCACATCAATATTTCCCTCCTCATCAATTTTCCATCCATGAACAGTAGGTGAAGGTGCATCAATAATCTGAGTTGTTGCCCTTTTCCATACTGCTGCCTGGTAATTTGCCCGCTGCATGTGCTGTAAGAGACAGTCCTCGTTTGGAGGCAAGGATTCGTCAGAGAATTTGCCCATTCTGAATAGATTATACCTTGCTTCGTTGACAGATTCGGTCTCCTTAGCCCCATATAGCATACATGTCAATGACTCAAGGTTTTTCTGGATGCGTTCATCTACTGTAAAATCATCTCCTAGGCGAGCAAGTGTATCAAGAGCTGTTTCGTCATTGGAAACCAACTTCCAGGTTGATATTTTACTTCGACCATAAAACGAGCTAGTGGAATCACACCCTAAAGGTGGTAAAGGAACGAACATTTATCCAGATTGTACTAGCTTTTTTTGCTGGTAATGATATGAACTATTCATATATTTTAGATTATAAACATTATAAACATTTGCAGACTAATTATTGCTTACCGGTATATGCATGAAATCCAACTAACGCTTTGCCTTCTTTCTCACCAATCTGCTGCTGAACACATCGTACATTTATGATACGAGTTTTCTCATTCACACCGGTCTCAAAGAACAATTCGCATTGAAGAATATGGCAAAAGTAAAGCATAATAATGAAGACGTCTGTATCGGGGCTCTTTATCAAAATGTTTCCATATGATTGAGATGCATGATTTGCATGCAGCAGCATTCTTGTGTCCGCTTCTTCATGATCACAAGATAATGTCGCTATTTCTCGAATCGTGAGAGGTGCACCTTCAATACCCGGCTTAAGGCGATGGCATTTGTCATCATGGCAAACGTAGACTACAATACCGCTAAACATAAATGATGCGTATGTACTCCACTGTTCAAACAAAAACCGAACAAGATCTTCTTTGTTTCGACCATGCTTAAGAAATTTGCTCCATTGTGTCGGCAGTTTCTGCTCAGCTCCGTATATATTGATTACTGCCAATCCACCGCTTGCCCGCTTGTTGCGTTCGAGGTTTTTGATGCTTACATCTGATATCGGTCTACCACAAAATCGACACGCGAAGACTTGTGATAAATCGCCAAGTTTATCATCCTTGAAAACAACTGCTCTGCAAGTTCTCCAAACGATGAAGGTAGCTTCTTCGTGGACTGAATGATTGCCATTCCATCAAGAATAACTGCGTTTCCAGCCGGAAGACTATCGATTATGTGATCTTGCACACTTGACTCAATTGATGTCATCAACTTGCTCTTCTGGGTTTTGTGCAAAGTGCCCATCCCGGTTGAAAGAGATAAAGGAAATGGACCCAAGGAATAAGTTAGAACTTCCTTCATGTCAACATTTCTACTTTGTGCCAGCAAGAGCATTCGAGCGAATAGGTTACGGTTATTCTTAAGGGTGGCTTCAACACCTTTTGCTGAACTAACTTTAACTTTCTTAGTCATCGATGAAAAAGTTTTCAACTTCAGCTTGGGAATCGTTGAAAAAATATCAGGCTCTTGAACTAGTAATCTGTTCTTAGAAAAGCAGTCACGCATTCTTCTCCTCGTTGTTTCGTTGTTAGTAAGTCATTCTTTACTTCTTGTGTAGCAACTAAACCACTTGACAAGTGAATCATTTCTGTTATATCATTATCCGTTTCAAAAGGATTTATCATATTCTGAAGCGTGTTCACTATACCCAAGACATCTTTCTCATGGCGAGTTCTTTGTGGCATGTCTAATTCCTTTCTTTTCCTATAAAGTTGAGGTATAAACATTAAAACGACGTTGACTTCTATGAAAAAGAAAAATTAATATACGGGACCTTTTAACTGTGTCAGTGCCTGCCATCTTCATGCATTCTCTGTGATAGCATCAGATTGAGAAAGAATCCATCGTTGCACCGCACCCCGGTTCAATGTTATTCCAACCATTCCTGAAAAAAAAAGTGTGTACTCTTAAAATCGGTGCATGGACATGCAACTGGAGAACTAGAAATCAATTAGGTCTTACCACCCGTAGTTTTCGAATCTCTATTTAATGTTTGCTCAATAGTCATGTCACACGCGATTGAGGAAAATCCATGATTCTGTTGGCGTTGCACAGTCCATTGCTGACGTAGATCTCCCAATATTGCTAAAAATAGAAAAAGTGGAAACAAGTATCTATTCAAAGAATTGATGAAATAGCACGACACACTAATCTTGTGTACACCAGCCAAATTTTGATTGGAATATAAGGCAAAAAACCATAAGGATGCGCGTGTTACCTGGATGTGTATCTGGTAATCTTGTCATTTCAAGCCAATATGCCGTTCCATAGCGGCCAATAATTCACTCGATCACATCCGAAGTACCATGTTAGCATTGAACGCATAGTCGAGAGATGAAGTTCCCAATTTCCTTCTCGTGTAGCTCTATAGGAGTCGATACAACTTATTTCCCCAAAAAAACAGTTGTTGCATGCCTCTTGATTAAATATATCTTAACCACAAATTTCCAAAATTGAAGGTAGTTGTTATACAGTAAAAGAACTAGGCCGATTAATATTCTCACCTTACAAATTGAAGTAATATGCCTGTCATTTCAAGGTAAGTACTCCACAATGCAAACGTTGGGTTGCCTTCACTTTCCTGCACAACAAAATCCTCGTATTTATCAACAATATGTGAGAATGGTTCAGCTGTAAGGCTATCCTAAATTTCTCGTCTGGAAATATGTTCAGCAGGTCAGACGCGACTGAGTAGACATTATTGTAATCCTCAGAACTGAGGCTATCCAAAAATGCTTGGAAGCGAAGTCTATGCAGAGCTTCACTCATTACTTTGTGGCAATGCATACTTCGATTATAATGCTTTCCTGTTAATACACCCTTAATTTGTCCTTGTCCAACAACATCAGATTCGATAAGTATATCCTAAAAATATTACAGACATTTGTTACATAAACCTATATAGCTATCCTGCCCTAATCTCAAAAATCGACAATTAAATATTGTGATACAAGGAAGTTACGGTATGGAGAAAATATGCTCTTATACCTGTAACCCAGCATCCCTGAACATGTTCCCTATTGCACTCAGGAACGACATTGTCGCATGAAATTCGCCTAGCCTGACAACAAACCTCTTCATAAAAGTCGCATCTTTCCACCTGATAATATAGATAAAAACAAAGAATGTAATGCACGGAAGCGAGAGGTATGCAATGAAACAGGCTCCTTAGAAATTCTAATAACTCAAGAAGGTATCAGTTTGGTAAAAATGCCATTCGGCACTTTAGTATTTACCTAATCTGTTGAATCTTTGCATAGATTGCTTCATCAAAAACTAGGACGATGTGCTCTAGTGACAACTTATCTGCAATATCCACGCTCTTTAAAAGCGCTGTATACAATGTTGAGTATTCACTGGGAGATCCATCAATTATTGGTAGGTATCTGATTCGAGACATTGGCGGTATTGCTGATTGCCTTAGAAGAATGTTGAAACCTGTCCAACCAGGAAGTAACGTTCCGTAGTGATTCTGCAGCATCTTCATCACAAAATAGGCAATATCTAACCTCCTAGCAAGTTCTTGATGCAACGGGTCGTCTGTTTCGAAAATGGTTGATGAAACTGATGTATTTAGGAAGCTTGGTGTCTTCTTTTTGCCAAGGCTGTACGGAACCATAGCTTCACTTGGAGCCTGGAAAGTTCTCCCACCCTTCTTCAGCTGCTGTGAGACTACGGCTGGTTGATTGTCAAATGATTCCTCCCGTTGAATTAATATACCACCAAGTATATGGGTTTGCGTTCTAGAATCCTCCGAAAAGTCGTCGTTATCATACACCAGACAAGTAAACTTATGTTTTTCTGCGCCTTTTGGGATATAGCAGTCTGATTTTATAGCTAACCTAGCCAAGTCTGTTTCATATGTTAAAATGGCAGAGTGACTAGAACAGTGGCCAAAACCATTCAAAATTTGCGTGAGTTGTGATGACCGCGTAAGCTGTCTTACAGCCATACCTAGTCCTAACGACTTTGGTGTTTGTTTCCTTCCATTTGACGCTATAAACAACATGTCTTGACAGATCGACATCACTTTTGTCAACTGTGACTCTTCTAGTTCAAGCCGAGTCGACATTGTTGGATAATCTGAGAAGCCTAATGTCCAAGCAATGAAATTAAACAACAAAATTGGAACCATTTTATGTACTTGGTCTGTTGAGAGATCGACCGAGGATGGTGGCCAAGTTGCATTCATTGCAGGTGCTCTTTTTATGGCATCTTTTAAAGCCAAAGCAACATCGTAGAATTCTTTCAACGTTACTTCCTTTTTATCCATTGAAGCTTCAGCAATCATTTCATCATCGCTATCGCTCTCAAATTCCTCAGTATCTACTGTTTCACGGGTCTCTGCTACTTCACCTACAGATAACTCTTCAACAAAGACCAGTTCACTTTGATTCCTGGTTGCAGGACGATGAAAGACAAGTTGTGGATAGTCTCTTTGTAGTCTAGCCTTCAGTCGAGTAGGACGGTAATTGGATGCATCAAGCTTTTCAAATTTCATAACTTGTTCCACAAAAATGTCGTGTAACACCCTCATTCGCATTATTTGTTTTTCTTCAATAAGCCTTTTGTCAATTATTTTCGAACAGAAGGCGATGTAGCTTGATTGGTATAGTTCATCAGTTGGCTTACTAGTTGTGGATTTTCGGGTCAGGAATCTGCAGTAATCCAAATGACAATGCCTATGGTAGCGTACTTCTATAGCAACACAGTCTTTACCTCTAATATGTGCTAAAATCGACTCGTCTTTTTTCTTTTCTGCAGCCTCCCTCAAAAGTCCTCCGTTGAACGTTTCCGCCAGAACAAGCTTATCTAATTTTCGTTTTCTAGTAACCTATAAAATATACGTCAGTGATTAACTATTACGGTTTGAAAGTAGTCGAGCCGCGTTCGCAGCCACTTAAAAATATATTTGTTTTGTAAGGTAACTTTTAGATCACCTTGTCCACTTTGTACGCATCTTGTCTTTTACAAATTATGCACCGTTCTGGTAGAACGTGTCTGTTTCGTCTGGGAATCGCTTCACTACCGCTAATCAATGTCCGTGGTGATATACGCACAGGTGCAGGTGCTGGTCGGTTGATAACAGGAGTGCTCGGTTCACCATGGCTGGATGCTTCAACAGTCATTTCCTTTTTCTTCATTCTTTTCTCGGCTCTTTCGATTTTTGTTTTATCACAGAAACGAACATAGCACTCTTTGTGATATCGCGCATTTGCAATTTCCTCTGGCACTAGCTCATTTTCCGAATCAAGTGACCAATGTTTCATAAACTCAGCAACATTTGCGGCGATTTTGCTTTGCTCGCCGTCCAAATTGACCCACTTTTGACAATACTCGCTTATTTTAGCAAATGTATGCGGTGTTAACTGACACAATTCACCAGACTTTCCTTTAAAATGAATAAAACATTGCCGTTTGGTGAATGGTGTTTTCCTGATAAGGGCTAAAACTACGATGTGTGGATTGTGGGGCAGGCAAAGACTGTTAGATTTCTCATGCGGAATAACGACTCAGATCGACCTATGTCAAATGTGTAATTAAAATGGAAATAACAACACACCGAACTAAACCAATATGAGCATATTTATTTCCTTTACACGTCTTTTATAAATACCTATTTCTATATACAGTATAATAAAACCTTGGCTTGTCCTTGAGTAATACTAACACCAAGTCCATGAAGAAATAAGCAATTTAATACTTGGAAAATCTTATTAATTACTATATTGGAAGTTATAGTACATAATCTTGTTATATTTCTGTAATGGAAACTTTTATATACCCGTATTGTACAAAAAATTCTATAATATACGAGATATACACAATGCGTTTAACGCTCGCGATGTCCAACATTGGTCACGATTTGAGTACGTTTTTCATCCAAACTAACCCTCGTTTTGAACTCATTCAGGTTTTATCAACTGTGTTAACTTGAACGAGAAGAATTCCCTAGATTTACCTTCGAAATGAATAAAACATTGTCGTGCAGAAAGCGTTCTTCTTGGTGGTTCATCCATATTTATATTTTATTATTTGAGTTATTTAATATGAGCCCACGTTTCTCGAACACTCTCGATACTTCAAGTAATGTAGCCGAAAGATCAAAGATACCGCGGAATTCATAATGGCTCTCAGTATATAAAAATATAGAACTTTGGCCGTGAGTTGTGCAAAAACTGCGCGGTTTGGCGTGTGGGAACAAAGATATTTGAAATCAGCACACTTTATTTTCCTAATCCCTGCTAAAATATCTTAGCACCGCGTTGGGGGCGACGAAACTGAGTGTTTTCGCGTTACAGCCAACGGCCTAGAACCATGAAGTCGTATTTGGGCACACTGTCACAATTCTTTCTGTATATGCAATGTGAATGTGAAGGCTTGTTGAGTTCCTTGAAAATCACCCAAGCTGATTTAGTAAGCCTCTCAAACCAAGCTAAAATGTGGGCAAGTTCTTGCCTTAAGTTGACAAAGGACAGGTTTTGGGAAAAATGTGTGGAGGACCTATCAAACATGCAGTGGCGTAGCCAGCAACGATAATTGGGGGGGCGAATATTCATATATTCATGTTAACAGACTGTAAAGACAATTGATTTGAAAAGAAATTAATCCTGTGTATCACGAATATATGAATATGTGCCCCCCCCCAATTATTCTGCTGGCTACGCCACTGCAAACATGAAAACACCTGAGCAAATCAAAGAATTTGACTCTTCTAAAACTGTACAGGATGCAATAAAACTACTTGGCGATTATAATGTAAGTGCTCATGTCTTGACACAAGCTGAATACACCTGTGTACGTGACCTACTTATTGACTATGATATACACTGGCGGCCAAAAAGAACTGCTCAAAGCAAGTCAAAATGCTCTCAAATGAACGTAACCGCCCATCTAACAATATATACGAGTAAATATAGACTAGATTAGATGCTAAGCTATACGGAAATGAGAGAATTATCCAAAATACCTATGAAGCTCTCTCCTATATCCGCTTCTTTTTTATGAATTTGTATCTAAGTAGTTCTTTTTGACTGCTAGTGTAAAATAAAAGATTGATTATCACGATTCCTGTTACATACGATAATAGCAACATTTGAGCAGTTATTTTTGACCGCCAGAGTATATTAACAATGGGAGTCGTTCTGGTGTGCTAGCAAACATGAGGTTAGAGGAATTTGAAAAGGCTACACTGGAGGAAGGATGCTATGTTGTTTGAGTCAAAAAGCACAAGACGTACACAACACATGGCCCAGTTAATATTGTTCTACAACCAAGACTCCACACATATATGAAAATTTTTATTTCAAAAAATGCGAAACAACCTTCCAGATGTAAAGTTATATGAAAAAAGAAATGTGTTTCTTAGCTGGAAGGGATGCGAGATGGATTCATTACATGTTGGGGGCCAAATAGGCTCATTCTGGGAGAAAGAATTCGGAAAGGCTGCATCTGCTGGGGGTGCAACAGCATTCCGAAAGGCAGCTGTTTTTGCCGTTCACAAGAAAAACAAAGATCTAAGAGGTGATTTAGCTTCTCTTATGGTCCAAAATGTTCAAACAGCTGACAAGTTCTATTTACTTGCGAACAAAATATAGAAAATTTTGCAGAAAATATAAGGAAAAGTACTATCACATTAGATGAAGTAAGACAAGTGTCAGGAGATCATCCGTTGCTAAAGAACATTGGATACTCAAAAATAAGGAACAAAGTACAATCACTTTTTGAAAAACAATGCTTGTCAGATGGTTATGATGACACAGGAAATGAAAAGGAACAAGATAATGCTTGTAAACTTCCAGTAGAAAGAAGAGACAATTGAAGATCGCCTCAAGAGAAGTGGAGTTGTGGGTCATTAAGATGCATCCTCAGGTACAATATGCACATTTTTAAATATTTGTATGATTATCAGAAAGCCCAGGAACACTGGAAGGGTACAAAGTGTAAAAATAGGGTTACATTACTGCTTGTTTGACTTAAAGTGCTCCTAACACAAAAATGAATTTCACCTTTTTGAAATCTTCATGAAACGTAGATAACAAAAATACTAAACAAAATTACATTTGAGGCTTTTTTAGCCAAGTAATAGCTCTTTGAAATTCAAAATATTCAAATTTTAATGGCAAGAGATTTTCAAAATTGCAAGGCCGGGAAATTGGTAACTAATACGTCACAGTAGGAACTGGTCTGGCATCTCGCGCTTTATCAACAGTAAAACCTTTATTATAAACAAGTGAGTATATTATTTTAACTTCGGTGAAAATGGCTCATCCAGCTCAGATACGGAAAGCGATAGTTACCAATTTACCACTCCAGTTGGAATTATATTCCCAGGCTATACTAAATAGACAGAGCTAGCGAAGCGATCGCCAGTGCTGACCATCAAAGTATAGACGATGATGACCCTAGCTTTGGTCCATATGTATATCGGTGAAATCGTTGCCGACGAAAAATGGCTTGATAGTCATCACAAGAAAAAGCAGCCTTATGACGATCGTTTACAAGATCTCCAAAGGAGACTTGATCGAATTAAGAAACTGGAAGAATGGTTTTCGTTTAAATAACGTATTAGTTGCGCATCTGGTTGCGTGACTTAGCTTGCATGTTGCGAGACAAAATTTCTTACATGCATACAAATCTATAGCAGATTATATTTCATGTGTAAATTTGGCTGTCGGTTAGAGCCAAATAGAACATGGAAATTGAGGAGTACAAAGAAGTTCTGAAAAGCGAGCTTGTTATACAGGAATTGGAAACGGTGATTCAAAACGGCACCAGCATGCATTGTCGCCCATCCTGGGTTTAGCCATAGATAAAGGAAGGACAGATGTCCATCTTCTTAACAAAAATGTCCCACGGCAGCCATCTTGCTGGCAAGTGTAGATTGCGTGGATATTCGTCATTTGTCATTACGTAATTGCTTTTATAATTTATACCCTCTGCACTCTGGTCCTATTGTGTCTATATATGTCGTCTTTCAAATTTCAATTTTATTTATATCCTTACTTATTTGTTAACAATTAAATATCGGCTAAATGACAGAAATTATAAGAAAAAAAAGTCGTAGAAAGGCAGGCACAACTTGGTGCTCAGCATATACATGTAAAAATAATAAAGCTGTAATGAAAAACCTGCATTTTTTCCGCTTTCTGAAAAACCCAATAAGGTAAATTTGTATGTCGCATTTTTATGTTTTCACTTTTCAACTAAAATTCAGAAGCTGTTCTAAATATATTTACTACTTAAAGACATAAAAACAACGGTATATCTTTGCTAAAATTATCTTAGGTCAGAACAGTGGGTTATTGCCTGTGGTAGGTATGACCTAGCGAAGAAAAATGCAAAGTATCGTTATAATAATTGCAAGCTATGCGAGGTCCATTTTGAAAATATTTGTTTCGTGAATATCGAGGAAAGAAATAGACTTCAAGAAAGCACTGTTCCATCAATATTTTACGGCAAACGAAAGTTAGTCTTTGCAGAAAATGAAGAACTATTAAACAGCGCCAATAACGGTATGTGAATTTCATTATTGGACAAAACGAATTACTTACAAGTAGATATAAACAAAAACAGTGCGTGACATTTTACAGCGTTTGTAACAGATAATATATACAAAATTACGGTCAAATTATACTAGACTGTCCTGCCCTGCAACGAATATAATAGCTTTCAACATGCCTTGTATGACATGCAGCAATTTGTCACTTTCACATGCAGTCATTTGCCTCTACGACTAGCGTACTGTATAAACATGTCTTATATACAACCTGCAACCGATTGGAAAAACAATCATTTTAGTCTTTAGAGAGTGGAAATTCAGCTTTTACACTACGTCTGTCATAAATTGTTTTTTTCATGATGGTTTAAACACGAAATATTTAAAAAAAACGCTTACTAAAAATGTACAACTAGCTGGAATGACTATAAGAACACAGCCACAGGTATATATAATTTATTATGCTGTATGTCAGTTTAAAAAAAAAAACACTTTATGTATAATATAACAACCTCGACAAACTGGGGTCGGTAAATTTTAAATAACATTACTCAAAAATGGAACTCTATTTTTCACTTTGAAAACTACTCAAAAGATCATATAAAAAGATCATATAGTTTTTTTCTTTTTAATCTGTCTTGTTTGGATGACAATATATTTATAATTTTTTTGCTTCATAATATAGCATGTATAAGAGCGAAAACAAGCCTTGCCGATCGAGTCCAGAAGAAAATATTATGACATGCATAGAACGTACCTTGAATGCTTCGTTTCAGGATTTCAAAACTTTCCCCTTTCACTTTTTTTATTCTCACAAAAATTCGCACAACACCTTATCCCTTGGGCAAAATTCAGCGACATTTTCCATCAAATAAATGCTTTAAAATACCCGAAATATGTATAACATGAAAGTGTTCTAGAGGAAGCCATCATTTCGAATTAACTGACAACGACAGACAGCGTGATTAATTTTTCATAATGACATACAGACACGTAGGCATCATGTGACTATATATATTTGCCAAATAAGGGCACACTTCACCATAATTTATATAGAATAACCAATTCTTATATATATATATATATATATATATATATATATATATATATCACAATATATGCTGCATATTATCAAAGAATATTATTATCAGAAGTGTAACTAGAGATTATTTTTGTGTCCTTATATTATATTATGGTATAAATGAGGCTATTTAAGTTAACAAGTCAAATTTGAATACATACGAACAAATTATGTTCCTTATAAATATAATTTTATCCAGGGTGTCGCCCCAAAACACCAAAACTATTGAAATCTTACATAACATTGTTAGAGTCTGAATAAGCGCCCTGTTGCGACCCACAAGTGTATGTTCAACATAAGCATTTTTACCATGCAATAAAAAATTTTATGGCACGGATTAGTTTTTTCCATACTTTACTCCAGTCTCTAGCTCAAAAGTCTTATTAAAATTTAGATACTGAAATGCAGGAAACACCAGAGCGTTCATCTGTGATGATCGA